TGTACAAATGCGCTTTACACAATTGATGTGTGTATGGATTGGGATAACAGTTGTATGAGCCCCTAATAAAATGTTAAAAAAAAAAACAATCGATGTAAAGACAGTTAGGAGACTGCCTGTAATGTTATAAGCAATTTAATAAATAAAGGGGAAAGGTTATGCTTTCATAATTTGAATTAATTATAACAAGAAAAAATTAGCATAAAATATACTAATTAATAAATATTACAGTAAAAACCTTAGGTAATAATTAACAATGGGCACTAAAATTAATAGAGCAATGAACCAGGACAATCAGATTATTTCCACAGTTTCAAAGTTTGAAAAACTAATACTTACAAAGAACTTAACTTTACAACAGAATGGGATTGGAGAAAGTGCACTAAATATGGAAAGACATTCTTAAACCAAATAAAAGGTAAAAGTTTTATTGTACGTAAAATAACACCAAGAAAAGCACCAAAAATATTTAAGACCACGTTTACTTAAGGTTATTCCTGAATCTTTTCTGAAATTATCAAAGAATTAAGGTGAAAATTTAGCTTGGTTTGAGAAAGTAACAAACATTGGCGAGGACAGACCTCAGTTACAATGAGACTGTCAATTATCCCAAACACAAAGTAGCTCTACAGAACTCCTTATTTGAGTGAATAGTGCTGGAGGTAAAAAAAAAAAGTTTAACTGAGGATTGTTGGGAAATTGCTATTTGAAATCACAGCAGCAAGGGTGAAACATCCCATGGTTGACACAGAGCAGAATCTCCGCTGTGAGTTTTTAGATGTGACGTGAGGTGTGAGGAACATCTAAAGGTTTTCCCACATTGATCACATTCATAGGGTTTCTCTCCACTGTGTACTCTTCTATGGGTGTTGAGGCTTGAGGCTTGCCTGAAGACTTTCCCACATTCTTGACATTCATAGGGCTTCTCTCCACTGTGGGTTCTTATATGTTTGGTCAGGTCTGAAGAACATCTAAAGGCTTTCCCACATTCCTTACACTCGAAAGGCCTCTCTCCACTGTGAGTTCTTACGTGTTCGGAGAGGCAATAGGAACGACTGAAGGTTTTCCCGCATTCCTTACACTCATAAGGTCTCTCACCACTATGAGTTCGCATATGCGCAATAAGATGTGCGGAACGACCAAAGGCTTTCCCACAAACTTTACATTTATAAGGCCTCTCCCCAGTGTGGATTCTTCTATGTGTACTGAGATTGGAGGCATGCCTGAAGACTCTACCACATTCCTTACATTCATAAGGCATCTCCCCACTGTGAGTTCGTACATGCTTATTGAGGGCCGAAAAATCAGTAAAGGCTTTCCCACATTCTTTACAGTCATAAGGCCTCTCCCCACTGTGAGTTCGCATATGTGTAGTAAGGTGTGAGGAACACCTAAAGGCTTTCCCACATTCCTTACATTCGTAAGGCTTCTCCCCACTGTGGATTCTTCTGTGTGTCGTGAGGTCTGACGCCTGCCTAAAGACTTTTCCACATTCTTTACACTCAAAAGGCATTTCTCCACTGTGAATTCTTACGTGATTTGTTAGGAACGAGGAGCACCGGAAAGCTTTCCCACATTCCTTACATTTATATGGTTTCTCTCCAGTGTGAGTTCTGGTATGTGTCGTGAGGGCTGAGGTTTGACTAAAGGTTTTCCCGCAGTCCTTACATTCATAAGGCTTCTCTCCACTGTGAGTTCGCATATGTGTGGTGAGAGAGAAGGACCGACTGAAGGCTTTCCCGCATTCCTTACATTCATAAGGCCTTTCTCCACTGTGGATCCGTGTGTGTGTAGTGAGGGAGGACGCATCACCAAAGCCTCTCCCGCACTCCTTACATACATATGCTTTCTCTCTCTTTCGGGATTTTTTATGTAAAATGAGGGATGAAGGACGATTATAGGTGTTACGACATTCTTTGCCCTCACGCCTATGACCTCTCATGTGTTTCCCAAAGGATGAGAAAATACAGAAATCCTTCCCACATTCATTACATTCGTAGTGCTTCTCACCACTGAGAGTTGTCACAGAATTGTTAAGAGCTGAGATACAAAGAAAGTCCTTCCCACATACTTTACATTTGTGGTTTTTTTTCTCATTAAGTGTTCTTATGGGAGTGGGTAGGTGAGAGGGGCAATTACTGGCTTCTCCACATTCTTGACACCGGCAGGTTTTGCATCCACTATGAGATCTGGTAGTGTACCTACGTGATGAGTGATCGCCGAAGGTTTTCCCAGACTTACAACATTCAGAAAAAGTTCCTTTCAGAGGATTTCTTTGTGGCTCGGTAAAGTTCGTAATCTGGCTGAAGACTTTCCCACAATGATCGACTTTATTACTTTCACAGAGGCTCTTCACTGTCTGAGTTCTGTTAAAAAATATGCAACATGCTATTAGAAATCGATTGATCCCATTTCACCTTTACCAAATGAAGGGGCCCTGGACTTGTTTCACAGGTTACTGTATAACATTTGTGCATAAGCCGAGTTTTTCAGCACATTTTTAATGGAGTTTTTGTTGTAAAATTAGGTGCCTCGGCTGATATTCAGGTTAGCTTATATTCGAGTATAGATGGTAAATCATTAAGCAGAAACACTCCCATTCTTGTCACTGTTTTTCTAAAATATGAAGCTTTGCAAATATTTGGGTCTAGGTAAAATATGTGTCAAACACTCCCTGTCTGACTCACAATAATGAAAACACACCATTGTATGAATCCCCGATGTATATAGTTTTACATCAGGTTTATGCACATATCTATACACGTACACATAAAACAAACGAACTGCACTGATTGGAGAAGATGATGACTCATAGCGATCCTAGAGGTCAGGGCATAACTGTTCTGGTGAGTTTTCAATGTGATAACTCTTTACAGGAATAGAAAGCCTGATTTTTTCTTCCTCGGAGGGGCTCGTGGTTTTGAACTACTGACCTTGCAGTTAGCAGCCCCATGAATAACCTCCTGAGCCACTCGGGCTCCATTAACAAAGTAAGTACAAGAGGGCCTGTTGATCTATCAGTGTGTGTCAGGGCTTTGAAGGAGCCCTGGTGGTCTCTGGTTTCATCTGATCAGGTCTTCGAACCGGTTTGCTTCTGTTCAGCAACTGAAAATGGTTGGTGCTGCACTTAGAGGTGACCTCAGGCTGGGCCCTGTCACTTTCAATGTGCGTCCTTCTCCAAAGTCCTGCCAATCGCCCGAGCTCCTACACGTGCCAGGTCCTCACACAGGAGACTGGATTATTGGCAGAATGGTGGAAAGTGACTCATATCCAAAGCTACACCATCTATCACCCTCCCTTGAGTGATCCACCCTGTTCGCATCCTACTTGGGTCAAAATCAGATGGGCAACAAATGTGGTTGCGATGCAGTGTCTACACTGTCTTCATTTACAGAGATCATTGCTAAACCTGTAAACACTCCCCCAGGGCCTGCCGGTGGATGGATATACGTGTAAGTGTACCTGAACACCCTGATACCTTATGACTTACTCTGCAGGCACTGCTTTCTCATGGTTTAACGACACTCACCTCAAACGTCTCCCCTGGTTTTCATGCGGACCTTTCCTGCTGCGTGACACAGAGAGTTGGCCTGACACAGAGGAACAGTTTGGGTTCTCCAAGAATTTCACTGTTATATGTTCACTGGACAACTTTCCCCCCTCGCCGTGATTTCCAGAGACTGACCCGGTCATCCGAGGTTTACAATAGGAAACAAGAAAAAGAAAGGGAGGATTAGGGGGTGGTAGAGGCTGTTGTCAACAGAGAAATATTTAGCCACATTTCACCATGTCCCCACGTTGTCAAGGACTGAAACGGAATCTATTAGGAAACCGCTCTATGAAGACTGAGAGCAATGGTGCTATAAACAGGTGCAATTAGACAACAAGACAAGAAGTTGCCAGACATAACACACACATAATATTAAAATAAGGAAAGGGTCCCCATGACCACAAGCCTGAGGCTTGCCAAAGTCATGCAGTAAGCACAGGGAAGGGTGCTGTGCCAGTGACATCATTTGTTGTCAACTTGAGACTATCGAGAGTGAAGGGGTGGGGTTTACCCTGTCAATCAGGTCACTGCTTGATGACTTCATTTGGAGGCACCCGGAGATAAATAGCTCGCTGGAGGCGGGACACATACTCTCTGTTTGGTATTCCTGCTGACAAGACACATGGAGCTACGCTAGGGCCCTGGAGCTGGAGAAGCCATGTGGAGACCCACGCCAGTGCTGAGATGCTAATACCACCACTGGATCCACGAGACTTTCCACCCGCCAGCCTGTGATCTTCCTGCATTCGGCATCATTGCATGTGTTGCGTGAGTGTGAAGAGGAATTTATAGATTGGTATCAGACATATGGGCTAATATCAGACTTATGAACTTGATCAGGACTGGGCTAGGATGTTTTCTCAATATACAATTGAGAACAAAGAGCTCTTTCTTATACACATATGAATGTCTATGAATTTGTTTCTCTAATCAACCTAGACTAACACAGGTCCTCAACACAAGAGACTGTTTTCTCGCTGAATAACTCAAATGTAATTCATCCATGCAGGACTGGTCACTGAAAAAGTATTCCATCCTATTGCTTCCTGACATATTGGCCTAGAGGAGCCCTATCTCCACTTTTCTCAGATCTTTCCCTTGCTTCTCATGAGGGAAGAGAGGGTCAAGCAATGAACATTTCTTTCACACTGTGCCAAGATTTTGCTCATCGTGGTCTCTGACGCAGGACAGAGATGAGTGTGTTTCCAGCAAAATAATCATGTCGAACTTTTAATAAAAACAGTGAAACCTAGACCAGAGGATGTACACTGGTACAGATGGGAACTGAAAATACAGGGAATCCAGGACGGATGACCCTACAGGACCAGTGGTGTGAGTGGCAAAACAGGGAGAGTAAAGGGAGAATGGGTAGGAAAGAGGGAACCGATGACATGGAACTGTATGTGACCTCCTCCCTGGGGGACGGACAACAGAAAAGTGGGTGAAGGGGGACGTCGGACAGGGCAAGATATGACAAAATAATAATTTATAAACTATCAAGGGCTCATGAGAGAGGGGGGAGCGGGGAGGGAGGGGAAAAATGAGGACCTAATGTCGGGGGTTTAAGTGGAGAGAAAATGTGTTGAGAATGATGAGGGCAATGAATGTACAAATGCGCTTGACACAATTGATGTGTGTATGGATTGTGATAAGAGTTGTACGAGCCCCTAATAAAATGATTTTAAAAAAAGAATGGAAAGAAATGGAATATCTATTAAAACATTGTATTCTTAAAAAAACCCAAAAACAAATAAAAACCAGTAAAACCTCTCTACCAGGTCCCAACTCACAAATTTCTCGGGGCCCCAAAGTTACCCTGGAAGCTGATGTTCACATTTAACTCTTAAAGAGCCCCAGAGTTCGTAATCACAAAAGAACTGAAATCTCAATGTAAATACATAGTGCATATGTTCGAGGGGAAGCCAGCTCTATAGAGCAAGGGATTATGCCTCTTTAAACAAACATAAACAAACAAGAAACCATTGTATTTCCACTTCTCAGCCTAAATACTGAAGCAAAGTGGAGGCGCGAAATATGAATTTTTTAGAAGAAACCTAATTTCTACCTAAATCACAACAAGACGCTAGTAAAACGCTACTTACCTACTGAAGTCAGGTTTTTCAAGGTCTCCATCATCACATCCCTGTACAGTTTCTTCTGGGCAAGATCCAGCAGAGCCCACTCCTCCCGGCTGAAGACCACGGCCACGTCCTCAGGAACCACGGAATCCTGGAACAGCCCACGCGTTACGGATCAGCAAGGCACCAGGAAACCCCCGTGGGCATGAAGAAAAGGCGAGGCATTCGATGCCAAGCTGTCTTCTACCAAGGTCTACTCGGGGATAGCCAACAGTGTCATCCGGTCACTAGCTACACTGGCTTCCCCACTGGTCATCATCATGCCTCACAGGCTTCCAATGCGATGAAATAATCTCTCCACGTTTTGAGTATGACCACCTGCGGCGTTACTCTTTGTGATCTGGAAGAGCTAGAAAATGTTGTGAATGGGAGGGAAAGGCTCTTATTAAATCCACCACTTCCTTGTGAACAAACAATCACACCATCTGCCATAAGACCCACCAAGACGCTCAACTATATGTAAAGCACAAGGCAAAGGCAGAATGAAGGAATGTCCCTCATATGCATGGGAAAAGGATGGGTCCACGCAGCCAAGGTCCTATTGTAAAACAGGAGATCAAGAGGGGACAGGTCCACTCTTGAAGAACTATGAATGTTCAACTACCGTTCCTTGTTGTAGATTCTACTGTGTCCCCAATAAGTAAACATCAACTTGGCTAGACTGTGATTCTCAGTATCACGTAGTAATTCTCCGTGTTGTGACCTGATGTGATAACCCTTGGCGCAAACTCTAACCTCTATGATGTCCACATGGCAAGATTAGAGGCAGTTGTATTAATGAGACGTGGTGGCTCTAACGATGGGCTCAAACATAACAATTGTGAGGATGGGCCAGGCAGTCATTCTGTTGTCACTGGGTTCACTGTGAGTCGGAAATGACGCGATGGCAGCTAACAACAACATATTAATGAGGTGTGATAAAATCCACAACATGACGTCGTATCTTGAGCCAATCTCTGAGATATGAAATGGGTTAAAAAAGGGAGCAGGGATTGAGGGCCCATCTCCCAACAAGAACGAGGAGCCTGCATAAGCCAGTATGGTAAAGAAAGCTGATGGTGCCC